TCTGGAGTCCCCTCTGTTCTAAAACATCATACTATTTTCCTCTTCCTGAAGTGTGTATGCATCTTCTTGCAAACTCTGTGTCTGAGGTCCAGGACCTAATACAATGCTTGATGAGCATTGACTGATTGATTGTCAAAGCGTAGGCAATAAATCCACAGGCTCAACACTGGTGTTCTTCAGCGTTTTACAGTTCCTTTCGGGTGACACTTCCGGTTTGCTATATGCTAAGTCACAACTAGGATCTATAATATATAAACTGCCATCACTTAATTGTCTGATCTCTGAAGCATTCAACAATTTTCTCTAACATACATACTTTCATTAGCCTCAGCTTCAATAAATACTTTTAATCTAGAGGTAATAAACGCCATTATTGCAGTAGTAATCAAATCAAAGAAATTTAAAAATAACAGAGATAAAAGTGAGAATTTTTAAAATTAAAAATGCTAACCCTTAAATTTTAGAAGGGAGAAAAGGTATTTGACAACAAATTTGCTATTTTCAGATAAAAAATAAGTAAATTCCAAGTAGATCAGGAAGAATTCTTCTTGCTTGTGATTCAGATGTAAACAAATTTGTCATAATTATCTTGGTACCCAATCTCAAGTTGTTAGTGTGGTAACCACGCCCTGTCCTACAGTTTGTGTCCTGGCCATCTAGAATAGAGTATTATGCAAAAAGCAGAGACAAACAAAATACTATGTTCTGAAATATTAAGTAAACCCAACTAAATAAAAATAGAAACATACCCTTCATATATATAATCATGTCCTTCAGTGTATATTTAGATTGAACATGTCTCAGTCAGTCCCCTCCATTTTATTCAAGTTTAAAAGTTAAAATTTTCCATATTTTTAGTCACCAACCTTGGTTAATTAGCAGACTGGGAGACCAGTTTGCATTTGAGCAGAGCTCCATATCATGGTCATATAATATCTGCCTGTGTGCAGTGTTGTACATTTTATTCCATTAATAGAAGATGGCAAATCTCCTGCCCAATTTCAACTAATAACCATTAGCCCTCAGACTATTTTACTAGACTGCTGCTTTGTGTACAAGACCAACCAAGCCATGAGTGCTTAACAAATGTTAATACATTTGTTTTATTAATGAGTTAATTCACTGACATTTTCTAAACCTACTTGATTTTAAAATGTGTTTAAGCATACAGCTTCAGTAAGAGGACTCAAACAAGAAAAAGTGCATTAGAAGAGAAAGAATACTTGACATATTTACAAAAATATGTAATAGAAGAATATGCATAATGATCAGATGCAGTACCTTCATTTTACTAGTGACATTTTTATAAAACATAAGGAACAGTTTAAAGCCCTTCAAGTGGTAGTGAAAAACAAAAAGGGGGAATGATTACTGTACTCGTAACTGTTTAAACCATGCTAGCTTGCTTAATAATTATTGTGCATAAAAAAACTTGAAACTGTTAAATCAAATATTATGATAAAAAGTAATTGTCTTTTAACATCACAACTACAGCATTCTTTTTATTTGAACACATCCTAGACATGTGATACTTTCTCCACATCATTTACCAGAATGCTTTTATTCATGTTTTAGAAATATTAACTATTTTCATTGTTCATCCTGGGATATAATTTGTCCAAGCCAACATTTTATCCCATAGATTAAGATATTTACCATATTTTAATAGCTAACTAAATTTAGAAACAATATTTTAAAATAGTCTTCACATCTGATATCTAGCCAAATATCAACTTTTTGGTAATTTTCCATTAAGGATACAGAATGTTTTTACTCTTTGTCCAGTTCTTGGTAACATCTACTTTCATGCAATATCATTATATCCAGTGACACTCTAGAGTGAAATATCTGCTTCATCAAGAACTTCTCAAGTGAGGGAATGTTAGTGAGGAGAAGAAAAGATCATGACCATGCTCTTCCAAAATTTCCATGTCTAGGTTCCTGGTATATTACCTGTTTTCCATTTTAACTCAAATATTGGGAGAATACATCATTCTGTCTGCATGGTAATTATACATTAATTCCTCTGACCCCTGCTTTACATATAGTATAATTAGAAAACTTGGTGCTAGATAATAATAGTTCTGTAGATACCATAAAATGATTGGGTTTTAAAAAATAATACTTTTTGCCTTGTTGGACCCATTTCATGTCTTCTGCAATGTTTCCCACAATTCTAGAGGACAGAGTTTGCTAACTCTATATTGAAGATGATAGATATAAATATTCAGTTTATTGAGTGCCAAGCACCAAGTGGATTTATGTTCAATCTTTGACAGCACTTCATAAGATTTGACTCATTATTCTCACTTTACAAGTAATGAAACTGAGTCTTTGAAGGTTGAAATGACTGTCCTAAGCTCACACTGGTAAATGAGGAGTCCAGCTCCAAATGAAGTCCTGTTGAACTTGTAGGTTGTATTCACACTTCTGTACTTGGCAGTTACTGTGGCTTGAAAGTATCACAGTTCCTGTGCTGGAAAGTTAATCCAGGGTAGCAGCACTGGGAGGAAGCAGCATACTGGTAAGTGTGTAGTCATGAGTGCTGTGCTCTGCGAATGAATCAGTGTCACTACTGCAGGAGCCAGTTTATTACTGTGAGAGTGGGCTCATCATAAAAACAAAGTCAGCCCCCTCTCACTCACCTTTCACTTTCTGCCTTGGGATGATACAGTGACAGGCCCTGTTAGATACCAGCCCTCTGATCTTGGACTTCCCAGCCTCCAGAATCATCAGAAATAAAATATCCGCTCTACGTCAGTAACCTAGTTCGTGGTATTTTGTTATAGTAGCATGAGGCAGGCTAAGACAGTGTCTTCTTAGTAAGCTGAAACCCTTTGTGAGGAGTAAACACCAGCTCTTATTGCTTTCACAACCCCATGTCTGAAATATCCCACACACCTTCTCCACCCCATAGAGATACATTTGACTTCCTTCTTTCAGTTTCAGCAACAAACAAAAAATAATAACCCATCCCAAGTCTGCATACCTAGTCCCATGTACAGTCTGCACATGCCTATTTACTGCCCCTGATATAATAGGTGCTACTGTAGCTAATGTTACAGTGTCTTTGAATATAGTGCAGTTTCCCTAAGACTGTCATTGTAAGTTAGTTATTGTCACGAGTGTAGCAGACTACTCAGCAGCTGTCTCTTCAAAACAATAACCAGAGCCATTTAAACAATGAAATGTGTATATATGTAAATTCCATTTAAAATCAGAATTGCTCCCTTCTTTCTAAATTTTTTAAAGTTTTTATTAAAACTACTTAATGAATCAAGAGACTGCATGTGGGTGTTTACATCTACCAGGAAATAGACAATTTTGCCAAAGAAACACTCCCATACGAGGCACATTTCTTATGGGGTAGGTGATTTTACAATGACTTTCCGTGATCCATTTGTCCCTTAGTGGGTCCAGAACACTGGGAAGTGTGTGATGCCTTACTTTTTAGTATGGATAAAAGCCAGGTCTCAGCTGATTACCTAAATCCTCCCCAAACAGTACCATCATCCCTGTAATAATAAGACATAAGGAAACAGGATGAAGAGGTAATTTCCAACAACTACTTAGCAGCATACCTGCCTATATTAGTCTGAACTGATTAGGAAAATAAGACCTAAAATATTACTGAAATAAAAAGTTTTAATGAAGCAACTAGAGTGAGGGTCAATGTTGAAAAGTTTAGAGGACAAAAAGCAGGAAAGTAAAAGCTTGCATTCAGTGTATTTGCAGCTTAAAATCAAAGAAGCAGACACCTCAGCCTAAAGCAGCAAGGTAGGAGATTCTCAGAGGTTTGCTTGGGGATGATGTAGTTCTCAAAAATATCAGAGAAAACTTCCAATGACTATTTCTCGAAGCATATAGAAAAGATGGTCTCTATATCTTCCCATACGTCTGAACCCATCTGCTCTCCTGCTCTTTGGCCTCCCATTCTTTCTGAAAATTCCACTCTAAAGCTGGGCCATGTGGAGCAGGAGACTTTCAGAAATGTAATTCCCTTCTTCTCTCAGTGCAGGCCTTGGGAGCTCTCGGTGACTTTGGACTGATAACAACACTCTGGCACAGTCCACACTTGTCAGCTCAGTCATGACGCACATGGCACTGGCTTTGGGTCCCTGAGGCGTGTGGAGAGTGGAGAAACAGCAAGCAGATTGATGGAAACCTTTTAGTGGGGAGCTGAAAGGTGTTAAGAGAAAATTAGATGAATGAGAAGAGGACAACTCATCGTTAGAAACAGCAGAAAGATTTTTAAACATGTGGTCTGAAATAACCAGAGACATAAAATATGTCTAATGAACTTGAAAATCTGCCCAAAGCGATTGCTAAGAAAGATTCAGTGCCAGTGACAAACTTTTCTAACTGTGTAAAGTGAAAAGAAAAAGAGCTAAAACTTTGTGCCCAAAATTTAAAAGAGATGTGTATGATACAGGACTTGTTGGAGAGAAAAAAGAAAACTATTTCCTATTACTGTTTTGTCCTGATAGCAAAAATTGGTCAATGTAAAAATGGCTTCAGGGTAAAGAAAAGATCAAGGTGATAGCTATAAAATCTTCCATTAAGATTTAGGGAAAAGTTAAGAGGTCCTTAGTAGAGCCCTCAAGCTAGACACACAGACTTCTAAAATCTTAAAGGTGTTATTCTTATTCTATAGTGCTAATATTCTCCCCAAAGAAGAAAATAGTATGTCTTGTAAAAAATTATGCATGTGCTTTGAAGAACATAATTTTGTCAATCAGACTCATAGGGAGGCACAAAGCTTCTAAGAGAATTATATTAACTTTAACTAAAATGAAAGAGACGTTCCAAAATGAAAAGAGGCAGGAAGTAGGCTGAGAAGGCTGTGTAGGTATGATGCTAAACTACATCTCAGAGGCCAGATACAACTCCCAGAATAGAGTCCAGGGCCTGCAGGGGTATTGAAGAAGTACAGAGCACAGTCATTTACAGAAACAAGGAGAAAAAGTGGGCCTTAATATGAATGAATTTCTCTCCCTCAGCAGAGAGCACTCAAATAGCATTTCCCTGGATGGACTGCAGTTCATTTGCCATCATGTGCCTCCCATTTCCTCATCTTTTTCTACGTGAGTACCGATTTCATCTACACTGGCCCTAAATTGTAATCATATACTAAGATTTTCAGGGAACAGATAACTTGTCATTTTAGTTCGCATGTCTTTAGGTCAGGAGGCACTACCGTGTTAAAGCTTAATCTTTTTCTTAGCCTGATGTATGATGTGATATCATAGACTTTGAGAATGACGCCATGACTGAATGAGTTTCAGAGAGCTCCGGAAGGGGGCTAATATATCTTGCATGTGGAGTAGATGGGAATCATTGGAGCCAAAAGACAACTAAAAAGATAATCCATAAATTGAGAGTGAGATCCTGTCAAATCTCTAGGATAAGCACACCGGCCTGGACAGAGTTACAGCAAGACATGATGAGAAGGGGTAGGTCTCCAAAACCAAAGGGCCAGCTAGGGGACAAATGAGAGCAATGTACATGAAGCACCTTAGCGATTCAGAAAGGACACAGGCTGAGGAAACAGGCCAAGGACAAGTAGTGTGGGGGCCTGCTGAGGTTCAGGAGCACAGAGCATTAAAGACATAGGAAAAACAGACCAACAGAAACCTCTACATGGCGAGTGCAGAGGAGACAGCCTTTGGGTCGGCTCGCATTCCTCTCTGGAAGCAGGTCTGCACTGAAACAGCAGAGTCAGAGCCCGCGCCCAAGCCTGAGTCACTCCCTAACTCTGAGACACTAATCCCAAGCTCTGAACATGACTTCCATCTCTCCTTTTCTTTTCTTCTTCCCTCCACATTACATGAAGCCACGTTTTGTGTCTTTCCGAACCTAATCCCGACCTCAGATTACTCATCCCTGTCCTAAGTCACAGCCCAATGCCTGGCCTGTGCCTCCTGAAACTCCCAGCAGCTCACCAACAGCTTCCTTGGCTTTGTTCTTAAACCTAGCTGCATCCCAATTCCTGATGTGATTCCTAAACAACCTATCTATCTTTTTCTTTTTATGCAATTTATGACAGCTGAAAAACACTAGGCCAATTTTATTCCAATTACTTTTTAGCGGGTACCAGAGCGAATTACTTTTTAAAGTTCGAATGTCACCTGCATCTGTGAGAGTGCTCGGTAATCGTTTAGCTTACACCTTCTCCCCGGGGAGCAGCACCACGCGCTCAAGTCCTACTCTCCGCACACGTTTTACTCTGCCTGGAAAGAGGTCGCACCCTCTACTCCCCTTCTGAAACTCTTAGGAGACTTCTGATGCCTGAAGGATAAACTCGTGTCCTTGCCACAGCATGCAAGCCCCTTCACTGTCTTCCTTATTCATTTCCATCCCTCACCTCCTACCAAGTCTATGGTGCCTTCGCAGTATTTAAGTAAGCAGCACATCAAATACTTCATGCGTTTGAATGCTTCTTCCACTTTTATGCCTCTGTATGTGCTCATACCTACCTCTCTTTCTGGAAAGGCTTTCTTTGTTTACGCATGATATGATTAATTCTCCTTCACTGGTATTTACAGAATACTTCATATAGGCCTTCACAGTTTCTTTATTGTTTTGTATAACTGTGTTCAGCTGCTCCATTACTGTAGCTAGCTTCTAAAAGCTAGCTGTTCTGCTGTTATATTCTGGGGTTATCTTCTACTACCATCAGATAAATCAGTGCATTAAAAGCCTCAATAAACAGTTCTTAGAGGACTAAGAGAGCAAAGAAATAAAATGAGAGCAAAGAGCAAAGAAATAAAAGAGCAGAGGAAGTCTCAGAGTTAGAAAAGCAGTACAAACAATTTAGAAATAACTGAAAATATTTTTCTATTTGTCATTACCTATGTTCTACTGGATATTGCTTCTGTTTGAATATCCATCTTACTTTATAGCAAAATCTTTATTTTATAGAAGTACTGTACTTTGAGACATCTAACTAAACTAGAGCTGATAAGTAATAAATTTTTTAGCATAAGTGGTGGTTGAAAGAACAGGTTTGTTCCACCATTTATTTATGTTGCTTTCATAGAGAAGTTGATTATTTTTCTATGTGTCAGTTTTCCTATCTATGAAGAGAAATATACTAATGGGCCTTACCTGGTAGGGCACATTTAAGGATTAAATGGCTTAATACAGATAAAGCACTTATACTGACTATAGATGTAAACACTCAGGAAAAATGAATATTATCATTATCAATCTAATTGAAACAGCCAACTTCTAGGTTCCTGTGAAATATTGATAGAATTGAATTTTATTATTATACCTATTTACAATGCTATTATACAAATTATTTGGCTATGACATGCCCCATTAATCACAAAGAAAGTAAATTTATGCGTGTAGGAGCTAATAGCTAATAGTTTAACCTAAAGACAGAGTGGAACATCGAGAGCAAACACACACTTTAATATATATTAAATATTAGAGTTTTTTTAAGAGTAGGAAAGTTTATCGAGGAATAGAAATGGGGAATAGGGGTAGCTCCTGAGAGGCAGGAGGGGTCCCAAATGGGTTACTCTAAATATTAGGTTTAAAATGATGCGTATAAGCTAAAGAATAAACACATCACATGACTAAGACAATAAAGTCGTAAATATTCATGCTGAGTAAAGCCTGGGCTTGTTTTCTCTTTCTGCTGTTTTCAAGAGGGCTTAATGTGCCTGATGAGACTATAGGCTCTACTTACCATAATCTTGATTATTTCACAGTAAAGACATTTGAATTAAAGAATTTAGTCTATGTTTTAACAGTAGGAGAAGCAAGTTCAGTAACCCAAAAGCGGTCCCTATGAGAACACACAGTGAGGACTTAAATTATAAAGGAACATAAAGCAGGCTGGTGAGAAGTCATGCCTAAACTAATGAGGTGGATAATTTATGAAATTTCTGATTATAAACAGCAAGGAAAATAAGACAAAAGGAAGATGAAACACAGGTGCAGTTTGTTTCCTTCACTCTTCTATTTTCTTTATTATCTACAAATACAACTATCAGCAGATTAATTAGGTTTCTAACTTTAATATTGAGAAAGTTTCTGCTTAACTGAAATATAATTTGTGACATAAATTTTATTGTGTAGTTCTAAACTATGATGAAAATTTTTATGTTTTTCATGATGTGAATTACCATCTTATTAGTTAATTTAAATGTTGAAATGTATCACTTGGAGAAATCAACTGAATTATCAAATAATTTTAAGCCAGCCCATTTTATCATAGAATTGATTTTTATTCTGAAAATCCAAGTAACTATTTCCAAACAGTTTTTCTTAGTCACTATTCCCCCCCAAACATAATTTCAGGATTATCTCCTATGCCAAAACTCTATCAGGCAAATTAAAATGAAAACATTTTTACTGTGTGAAATGTCGGCACTTTTAAATCAATTCCTATAACAATAAGTAAACAGTATTGCAGAGAAATTGATCAGTTAAGAGCCTATTGTGTTTTTAATTGAATATATACTTAATATATGTAGCAAGTTTTATGAGAGAATGGGGTAGAAATTAATTGATCTACCATATTTCTAATATGTCTTATTGGATATGGAGTAAGCATTTCACATATGCCCACTAAGAATATTTTCTAGAAAATATATAAGGACTATGAGGTCCACTAATATTGAAAATATATATGGAGGATTTTAATGACAGTTCTAATACTGTCTACTAGCACCCCATTCCATTCTAGGCCCTGTGATCCAATACTGATTTTACAAAATACAATCATATATCAAAATCCCAGAATAAGCTGATTGAAAGCAATGTGAGTGAAGAGGAATCAATAGACCTAGAACAGAAAGTTCAAGAGCTAGTTGAAGATGGCAATAAAATACAGAAACACCCAAAGCAAGGTTAAATAGAAGATCATTCCTTTGAGAAACTCAAAGAAAAAAATTTGAGAGAGCAATGCAGAAAAAGTTGAGTAAAAGAAATGTCAGAACTGCTCACAGTGGGCAGGAATTCACGTATGCAGTTCCGCTAGGAAAAATTAGACAAATGGACAAGAAGCAACCATGCTGTTTCAGCCAGAAGCCTGACTTCCTGGAACAGCAGCATTAGCACCGTTTGGGAGCTCATAGGAGCACCAACCTTAAGGGCACCCATCGGGCTCTCTACATCCTAGAATCCAGCAATCCACGTTTTTACAAACGCTCCAGGCTTGTAAATTTGTAAATTTTACTAAAGTTAGGAAAGACCAGTTTAGAACTTTTAAGAATTTAGTCTCCATCATCTATCTGGAGTTATCTTAGTTGGCTTTTACAAATAGGTGTTGATATTTTTAATGTAGATAGCAATCCAACAACTCCTCAGTTACACACTATACAAGCACTAATTTTTTCCATAGCAGATATTCAAATTTCTTCTGCCATTCAATTTGCTTAGCAGCATTTATCTTCAGTGAATATCTGAGAGCCAAAACTACCTTTAGTATGATTAACCCAAACATAAATAAGATTGAAGGTATTTTATAATATATTTAATCACATCATATATATCATTATTTATATTTCTCTGAAGTAATTTATATAATAATATTAAATATTTAAAATTATTATGTTATCAGTTTCAACAATTGAAACATTACCACTTTAAGTAAATATCATTAATTAATATAAGCAATTTAGAAATAATTATATAACAAATATTCATATATAACATTTATAATAAATATTTACCTAATTTAAGGGATATGACAGTATAATAGCAATTATAGCTAAGAATAAAATTTCAGGTGTCTACTTGCCCTCTGTCTTTCCCTAAGATCCAAGTAGCCGCTAAAGTATTATTAAACAAAAGAAAATACTAATAGGGAAAAGGACCATCTTATAAGTGTTAATCCTATTCATTATACTGCAACTGCTCTTTCTTGACTTCTAATTAAAATAATAGAGACAAAAGCAACAATTATAAGCCAAGGGTGGAGAGTTCTCTTTCAGAAGCAGGGTAACAGTCATTGCAATGGTAACTTATGAGGAAAAATCACTTTCATTTCAGAGTGAGTGCTATTGTGAGCTCAACTCACTGACAAGTCCACCTTGGTAAGTGGGTTATTTGGTCCTATGTGCCGTTGTTATAATGGATAATGTTGTATGGCTACTTGACTGCAAGTAATCTCATTTTATCTCTGTAAACCAAATTAACTACTACATGCACAAAGACTACTAAACATTCTGACATTTACCTCATCTCATAAAATTATTATAGAATGCTAGATATATTACTTTTTAAAACTCATTTCCACTTATATAACCTCTATATCATGATTCAAAATGTATTTAAAGTTCTTTCAGTCTTCACAAGTCAAATAATAATGTCCTCAGTGCAACTTCAAATTAAGTATAATATTGTTTATGATTTTGCATATTGCCTTACTATTATGCTTCCATACATTGGCTTGCATAATACATAAGTATATATTTAATGACATGTGCTCTCAAACATTTCCTGCTACATAAAAAGAAAAAAACATAGTCAGGGTTAATATAGTTATTAAAAGGAATTCTATAATAGTAGAGATTTTATTGCATAATTGGCTAGTTTACTTGTAAAAATTGTTTTATGTCAGTCATTTTAAGAAACTTTTTGAAAGCTTTTACTTGTTACTGTTCTCATTGGACTTTTTTAATTAAATGAAAGATATCTGCAGTCTGAACTCCATTTTTTAAATCTATGGAATGTTCTGGAAAAACATACACATATACTTTTTACAAGAGTATTCTTATTCTAAAAGGAAAAGTTCTTGAGGATTTCTCTGAACTCTTTCCCCCTCCTTTGTTACAGGTATCCATTTTTCAACTGTATTGATTTTTTAAAACAAAAAATATGGATTTCTTAAACTCTTCTGATCAAAACTTGACCTCAGAGGAACTGTTAAACAGAATGCCATCCAAAATCCTGGTGTCCCTCACTCTTTCGGGGCTGGCACTGATGACAACGACCATCAATTCCCTCGTCATTGCTGCAATAGTTGTGACCAGAAAGCTGCACCACCCAGCCAATTATTTAATTTGCTCCTTGGCGGTCACAGATTTCCTTGTAGCTGTGCTGGTGATGCCTTTCAGCATTGTGTATATTGTGCGAGAGAGCTGGATCATGGGGCAAGTTGTCTGTGACATTTGGCTGAGTGTTGATATTATCTGTTGTACCTGTTCCATCTTGCATCTCTCAGCTATAGCTTTGGATCGCTATCGAGCCATCACAGATGCTGTTGAGTATGCCAGGAAAAGGACTCCCAAGCAAGCTGGCATTATGATTACGGTAGTTTGGATTATATCTGTTTTTATATCTATGCCGCCTCTGTTCTGGAGACACCAAGGACCCAGCCGAGATGATGAGTGCATCATCAAGCATGACCATATTGTTTCTACCATTTACTCAACATTTGGAGCATTTTATATTCCACTTGTGCTGATCTTGATCCTTTACTACAAAATCTATAGAGCAGCAAAAACATTATACCACAAAAGACAAGCAAGTAGAATTGCAAAGGAGGAGCTGAATGGCCAAGTCCTTTTGGAGAGTGGTGAGAAAAGCATTAAAATGGTTTCCACACCCTACATGCTGGAAAAATCTCTATCTGACCCATCAACAGACTTTGATAAAATTCATAACACAGTGAAAAGTCCCAGGTCTGAATTCAGGCATGAGAAATCTTGGAGAAGGCAAAAGATCTCAGGTACAAGAGAACGCAAAGCAGCCACCACCCTGGGATTCATCTTGGGTGCATTTGTAATATGCTGGCTTCCTTTTTTTGTAAAAGAATTGGTTGTTAATGTCTGTGAAAAATGTAAAATTTCTGAAGAGATGTCAAACTTTTTAACATGGCTTGGTTATCTCAATTCCCTTATAAATCCACTGATTTATACAATCTTTAACGAAGATTTCAAGAAAGCATTCCAAAAACTTGTGCGATGTCGATATTAATTTAAACAAAGTTTATTATTAAAGGATAAAGTTTTTCTATGAAGGAGAGTAACAGAATGAATATTAACTAGTAAAATATCTACACAATTAGAGGAACTATACTATAACTGCTAAAATGGATGAGATGATAACACAATTTATATTTTAATAATACTATGAACATACAATGTATTCATTTTATCATCCTAGGAAACTCAAAATTAGAAAACATTATGTGGAGATTAAAAATAATATTTAGCCTATGTGGTGTACTGAAAAAGTTGACTGATAATGATTTTCTAGATTTATATGTTACAACAATTAAGGGGAATTTTCCATTAACAGCACACTTCTATCTATAATTTCTACATCTCTACTATTTTATTATGTAATTCTTTTATTTTATAGAAAATATACACTTCCTCACAAGGCCAGCACTTCTCCTACTCAACCATTCTTACCTTCTCCATCTTACCACATAATACATGGAGAAGGAGGAGACAACAACTCTTGCTTACTGTGAATGGAGTAAATATAAAGGTCAGACACATTGCTATTGTCTTTGTGTTTTGGTAGTAAAGAATTATTATAAAGTGGGTGAGCCATGGAAAAATAATTCTAGATACTAAGCTTGTGTATATTCAATATATCTGCGTGTTTAATGTAATAGCTGAAAATGTTAGCAACATCCCATAAATATTCAAAATCAAAGTCTTACCCTAGAGGTAGTATGGGGAGGAGTTGTTATTATTACCCCTTGTTTACTTAGGAGTCAGTTTGAAGGCATTAAATGCCGTAAGTGATTCCCAATAGTTATATTTCTAATGTTTTATTAAAAATATAAACTGTATTTCATTTTGTTTTTTTTTTTGGTTTTTCTCCGGTACCGGGAACCGAACTCATGACCTTGCGCTTGCCAGGCAGGCGCTTTGCCGCAGAGCTAAATCCCCAGCCCCCTTCATTTTGTTTAATATAAGCTTAATGACGTATTACTTTATACTTCATCTGCATACTTTTGATTTGAACATTGTTTCCTTTTTTTGTGAGTTCCTTCAATAGGAATACTTAGAATTTTCCACTAAATTTTTAAAAATCTAGTGTTCCAGTTGGTGGAAATAGACCACATTAGGGAAGGCTAATGAGAAAGCAAGACCATTTGAAAATGATGTAGTTTTTATTTTTATGCTGTCATTTTGTGTGTATCGTAAAATATACCTTACTAGTAGAGTGCTTAAGAGCATAGTACATCAATTTTTTTATATATCTGTAACTTATTGCTCCCAATCTAACAAATATTTACAGAGTTCTCACTATATATAAGGTATCGAGACTTGTACTAGATAGATGATATAGGAACTAGTATAATTTATTCATTTAATAAGTTCACAATCTAAAAGAAGAAAACAAAATGAAAACTGTAACAGAAAAAATACCAAAAATCAGGTAAGGAAGTTATTGATGTAGTTATAATTATAAAGAGGAAAAAATGATCATATCTAGTTGAGAAAAATCATTCATAAAGAATTCATAAAGAATATATGTAAAGTGAATAGCATCTAAGCAAGAGAAATGGAAGGGAATGTTGCAGGTAATAACAACATCAAGAGTTCAGGCTACATCATGCAAATATTTATGGGGCATGTTCACTAAGCAGTATGAGCATGGCAGCTATTTAGAACCATAGAAGAAAAGAAGATCAAATGAAAAAATGTATTTATGATCAGCTTTTCTGAGGCTGATTTAATGTCAAAAGTAGAAGTCTGTTCTTTTTTTTCTATCATTAAATGATCACTCCTTGCAAGTTTGGGGAAAATCTAAGAAAAATATTTCTGATCAGATTTGAGCAGAGAGGTTAGTGGAGATAATAACCTCTTGTTAGAAAGCAAAACAGTAATCAGCAAGAGATTATAAATTCTGGACCACCCTCTAGTGTTGGAATAAAAAAGGAGAAACAAATTAGACGTGATGTGAAGATGGCAACTACAGGTTATAGCAAATATGTTAGTACGCAGATAGAAGGGGAAGATACAAGTTACTGAAGTAAGGTCATGTTCAACCGAAATAAGGAATTCAACAGAAGGGATGTACTGTTGAAATGAAGACATCCTTTGGGAATATGTCAAGCATATTAAAAACATTGGAGCTCATAGGCACTCCTTACCACTTCTTGCCTAAGGTAGACGAGTTTTCTCTCTGAACTTAAAGCCAACAGGTAAATGAAGCCCCCGCCTGTCCTCACACTAATTTATCTCCCAGACCCTTAACTTTGTTGATCAAAGGCTACTGTGGTCCCTGCAAATCTTTGTTTATTTCCTTTCGCTTTTGACTGACTAAAATTTGATTTCTGATTCATTCCTTCAAAGACCTTCCTAAAGTTAAAATAATCTGTTGTTAGTTTATCTATGCCCTTCTTAGAAATTTGGGGAAAGTGTAAGAGACATAGATAATCAACAGAAAGGAACAAATTTCAAGCTGAGTGAGGCTCACCCAAATACAAAGACTGTCTTCTGATCTGAACTGAACTGAAGCTCTAATGCAGAAAACTAATAGCATAAGTGACAGGGAAGTCATAACCCTCTTCAGAGCTCAGGGGAGAATCAATTTTGATTTTGTAATGTGTAGGAAACAAAGAGCAGGTCTACAACACCTTGCAGTAATTATCACTTCATCTATGTTCTCCCCCACATGCTGAGGTCACAGCTCATACCATCCTTCATGAATAAATATGAGGAATGTTGCTTTTGTGTACTTAGATGGTAGGTAATGGAGAGATTAATAATCTACCATGTGCACTTTCTTTGAAATTTATGAAAAACACATCACACTTTACTGAATAATATAATTTAAGCTCAATGAAAAAGCTTCCAAGTTAATAAAAACTGATTATTTTTTCAGCAAAAAATTCCATATCTATAATGAATGAAGCAGTATAGTGAGTCATATATATAACTGATAAAGTTTATGAAGAAAATGTAAATATTATAGAAAAAGATTAAATATGAAATGTGAAAGTTTACCTCCTGCTAAAATTTTAATATAGCAGTGAAGATCTTAATTTTTATTTGTTCCTCTTAATCTTTTTATATGAAAGATAAGCAAGGAAAAAGGAAATCAAAGGAGTATATCCTACATTCAGTCCAATAATCTATTGTTAGCATAGTTACATCCAAGTTGTGCTTGAAAATCCACTCCTGCTTATGAGACATGGTCTTCATTATGGAGCTGGTTTAAAAATATGGATTGTCTAAATTTGTAGGTTTTGCCTTATATTATTTTGATTTACAATAAATCCACCAGTAAAATCTATAGCACAAACAGCTTGGCCAAGGATAGGCATTGGGCCTGTCCTTTAGTAAAAATCTTTTCCTCTTTAAAGTTCCAAAACTTATTTGATTTTCTCTTTTCTAGAGTTTGCTTCCCCAACCATCCAGGTTCCTTTCTTGTATCACTTACGTCAGTTTCAAATTACTTCCTTTAGCAGAGCATAATCCTATATTCAAGACTCAATTTTAATCTTATCTTTCTTCCCTAAGTTTTTATCAAAAGCAAATGAAGAGGTATTTGGAAGCCAGTTACTAGGAAATGTGTTGATTTGTTCCAAATAGCATGAAAGTGAAAATAATCATAAGTTTATTGCTGAAATTTATTCCAATACTTCAAGGAATAAATTTTCTTATGAATTTATGAGACTTTTTGATTCATAGGTCAGAGGATCAGGTGTGCTATATTGCAGTAGAAAGGAAGCATGAAAAGTTTCACCCTAGTATATTCCAAAGTCCTTTAAAAGTAATCTTGTTTAATCCAAAATGTGACCATATTAAAGTAATGTGTTTAATATCTTCCTAACAACCAAAGTGATTATATTCAGGCCCTTATTTTGTCAAAATATTTCTAGAAGCAAATTAATGATTTTGCCATTCATAAAATACTTTCTTGGGACACTTTAATAACTTTTCTTGTTTGGAATCACTATACTTTCTCTCATTTACATGAAAAATATTGCTGAAGGAAATACCTTTCAACATGATAATGTTTGCCTATTTGTATAGAATATCTTTGTCCATGCTGTATCAATATTTGAAATCCACTTAAGAACAGAATTTTTTCAAAGACTTGATAATCAGGTCTGATCAGGTTAAGAACGATATAAATTTTGTTTGAGGAAAAAAGTATAACAGTAATAACAAATACTTTAGCAACAAGAGCAGCAGTGATAAGAAGTCATGTCCAAAATACTGTCTTTTGCTCAACCTTGTGCTTAATCACAGTTCCAGTTTTTATTATGGAGAATGTTCACCTCCACAAGAACAATAAAATGACCTTACTCATTCCTATAGATACAGCAAAGCTTTCCATGTCCTTCTTTCTATTCTCCTGGTATCTCTTCACTGTACTAATAACTACTTATACTAAATATTCATATACAAAAATTATACTTATATTTCATGTGTTGTATAACTGTTATTATATGATTATATGGCTGGGTCAATACAAATTTTTTTTTTAATACAAATTAATTCTTTCAGCAGAAGATCATAATACATTGCTGCAACCCAATTAATAAGGGAAAAATTTGTTCACCTTCCTATCTCCACACATACTAATCATATCCTCATGTTACTCGGCTTGGCTAGAACTCAAGTAAATCACAGTCCCAGTAGAGAGGATGTGTGTACACGTATGTGTTAATGTTTATGTCCTCTTGCAAAGCAAGTTGATGTTGATAAGTGAACTAGAAAGAAAGCAGTCATCTTAGCACAACACGCTGTTGAGTTTGAAGATAAAGTATGAAGAGTGGGAAGGAAGAAGTATCCTTGTACTCTAAATTTCAGATTCAGAATCTGGTGTGGATAAAAATTAGTGATGGTTACAAAAGCATATTCCAAAAATTATAAGTCTGTAAATGTAAACTGGATATCAAGGATCTGAGTCTTTAGCAAGAATCATAGATTATTCCAGAGAAGGTTAAGCCTGGAGATTTAGTTCTACATACCACAGTTTTAAAGCTCCTAAATAGTTAAGTGTTTCATGGGACCAGTTACAGTGAGTGAAACTGAAATTTTACTAACATACTTAGTCAGAATCCAAAGCACTTTGCAACCATTGTACATGAAAAATATGTAGTAAAACTGTATAGAAGCAAAAGTAAAAATTACAACAATTAAAATCTATTTTCAGTCAGAATATTGTTTAAATTTTCTAGGACAAATAATAAGTTCTTCACTGCGTATGAATGAGCTGTTTAGAACACAATCCTCTACATTTGAAATTTAAGTCCTGACTCCTCTGCTAATCATTAACCTGATGCTGAACAAGTTTTACTTCATGGCTTTGCTCAAGGTGGAGGTGACACTAAGAAGTTAGAATGAAATAAAGCAAATGATCTTGAAAAACAGCAAAGGACTACACAATCTAAATGGTTATTTTCTGTAGTAAGTCTGGAATGGGAGAGAGCACACGACATGGAATGAGCTGGCTTGCACTGTGCGCTGCCTTTTCCTGAGTCTGGAGAGAAGTGAGTGGGTAGCTGATGGTGCACTCCTGGCTCTGTCTTTGGGAAAGCAGTGTCCTCAGGAAGGACAAGCTTCCTTCTGGAAGCTCTGTCCTCGGGAAGCAGGAGTTCCCGGCAGCCCTACCCGAGCCACAGCAGTGTGACCCCTGCGGGTTCTCAGCAGTCTTTCCCTTGCTCTCTTCTGTTCATCCCATTAATGAAAGCCTGGTATCTTCAAAACTCATTTAGCTTTCTGGAAATCTACACACATCCAGCCACTCTGTTGAAAACATAGCAAGAATTCC